TCTTTTAACGATTAACTATCACCAGACTGTGGTTTTTATACATCTATGGCAAAAAGAAGTAATTTCAATTTAAGATAGCAGAGATATTACAAGAATTTAAAAACATAATTCTATTATTTTCGATTTGATAAAAGTATTGAAGAAGGAAAACACTTAGTATTTAGTTTGTATTTCTTGTAATTAATTGTAACTATCACCAGACTGTGGTTTTTATACATTTATGGCAAAAATAAGTAGTTTCAATTTAAAATAGTAGAGATTACAAGAATTTAGAAATATAATTCTATTATTTTCGATTTGAAAAAAGTATTGAGAAAGGAGACCACTTAGTATCTAGTTTGTATTGCTTGTATAATTGATGTAGAGAATATAATTGATATCATAAGACTGATGTCATTTTAATTCAATTCAATAAAATTCCTTAATTTTATGAAATTGTTTAGGTGATTGCCATGACTATCGAAGTATTAAATTCTCTTTTTTAATCTCTAAACTCTTTCTGTCTCTCTTAATCTCGTTTAATCTAGTTTAAACTCTCTCTCTCACTCTTTCCCTTAATCTCTCTCTCCTAATCTCTCTCTCTCTCTTTCTTAATCTCTCTCTCCTAATCTCTCTCTCTCTCTCTCTCTCTTTTTCTTGTGAAGTGGACACGGCGGTCTGCCATGTCATAATATTATTTCACCGGGAAACGGAAGACGAATCATCCCGTGAGCGATATTCCGCAAAGCGGATTCCATGTCTTTAATCCGGTGGATTGCTCTGCGCGATAATCTACCTTGTTATTGACTGGCCTTAAATATGGATCGCTATGCGCGCCATTTTCGGACGTAATTAAGTGTTAACCGGACGTTGGACATACCTACACCGGTCTCAATGAGTATTATAATTATCGCTTTAATGAAGCCACTCATTATCAGACACCGCTGGATACAGATTAGTTCGACCTGCGGTTTTCGTTAGAATTTTAGCCAGATATAGCAGTGTTTCTAAGTATGATCTATGTTAACCCTTGGTCTGCGGTTATCCGGTCGTTATAGCACAATGTTCATTTTCACGATCAATTGGATGAAAGTAATTGCTGTTACACCAGGAACAGCCGAGTAAGTAATTGATCTACAAGAAGAATTTTCAAAAATGTGGCGAGAAGAATTAACGAATAAAGATCAGAATTATTTGAATCATCGTCAATCGTATATTTGTTAAAATGATTGGTCGTCCGTGGATTAATTATTGCTCTGTGAATTTTATGTTTGTGATAGGAATGAGTTGGTATGATTGAAAACTATAGACAATATTAAATGAATAGTAAATGTTAAGTAGTAAATGTAGTTAAGTAAATGTATCAATTGAAGCTTATTAAAATTATTAATGGAAGTATGACGTATCTGTTAGACTACCGCTTTTTGCAAATAATTTTTATTCTGCATAAAGATCCACGCTCTAACAATCATTTTCTCTGCTTGTATTCGGTGTTCGAAGGTGGTAAAATATTTATCTACGTTTTTATTCTGCGATTTCTGAGGCGGAAAGGACGAACAATCTTATTTTTGGGACATCGTTCTTCTCAACTGTTTCCCCATGATCTTTTTGTAAAATTTGAGTCGCAATGTTCGAAAGCAATTTTTGTCGAAAATTGTCACAACGTCCCTGATCGTTTTATTCCATCCAGACTTCAGTTGAACTTCTTCATTCTTTCTCTTATCTGTTGAAAGGAAAACTTCTCTCGGAAGTCGGTCTCCAAAGTTTGCATATTCTGAACGATTTCCAGTTGAATTGCTAACCACTTCAAAGACTGCTGATTAAATGTGACACAATTTTGTAGACAAAACAATTGAGAAACATCATTTTATATTTTTTCTGATATGAAACAATTGCAACTTTTCCATAATTTTTTTCATATATTTTCTATTAAACCAGTCCCTCTAAAATAACGAACAATTGAAGTCGTTTAATTGTTCTTTCGAAGATAAATATTCTAAATTTATTAAACAAGGTTAGATTACTCGATACGATACACATTCAGGGATTATATCTCGCCTCGAAGAACTCAAAGACAGCTATGAAAACTATCAAGATGTCCAAATCACCATTAATAATACAACAACGATTGTATAGAAAGAAATCAACAATTGGGCGTCGTCTTCGGAGTATCAAAAAATCCAGCTATAAAGGTTTACGTTGTTTCTGTTTCAAGATCTGACATCGTTAAAAACCACGAATTGGCCAAGGAAAAAGTCGTCAGGGCGTTAATAGATCCGGCCGGACGCTGTGGAAGACTCGTCGATTACCGGAAGCGATCGTAGGCCGGATTACAGAGCCGGAGCCAAGTTGAAAATTTCATGGACGATAAACTTCAATGATAAAGTTTATTGGCTGTGTGTCGCAGCCGGCACCCAGCAGAGGCAGAAATTCTGTTCCCGCGGACAGAAAGTTCGTTCCGGCGTGCTGTCAAGATTGTTACAAGCCTGTTAAACGGGGAAAGAGCCGGGAAGAGATTGTGTCGTGCGACACCCTCTCGTTCTATTTCGCGTTCCAACCCTTCCGCTTTATTTGCGCCCTAAATAAAATGTAACATACCGGATTAAAAGATACAAAAGGTAAATGCTCTCCAACCGTTTGACCCTTTTCGCAGTAAACAGGTCACGTGTGCTCGAGCACAATGCCGAAACGAGAAGCGGAAAGACGCTTTCACGTTTCGCGCTGCGTTTTAAATACCCGCTCCCCTCTCACTCTGGTCATGTTAGCGAGGCGTCACTGTATTACAGTTACTGGCTCGAACTCCTGCACGTTTTCCTTCCTCTGTGGCCACCTCCGCTTGCATCACCGCCATTTTACAGCGCATCCAATCCGAAGTGAACCCTGTCGTGCGTTAGACCATGTACAGGGTGTCCATCAGCAAACGTCGTTTGAGATGTTTCGTATAAATATTTAAAGAAGACAATATTTATGAAGTCGATTTCAACTGTAAATTTGATTCGGATGTCGCCGTTATTTTCAGTACGAACATAATGTTAATAAGTAAACCTGAGACTTTTACGCACGAAAATTATGCAGAATGTGGATGACATTTTTTCACGGAAAATGTGTAGATATGCGCGATATTATGTATATACCATGTAAAGTGTTAAGTCTCATATTAGGTATCGAGAAACGTTTTACAGTAATTCTGATATGAGCCGTTTATTTTGAAAGTGGCATAAGTCACTTTACCGTAATGAAAAGTGGTGATTTTTTAATGTTTATACGAAATTATTTATACTGAGAAAAATATCAGTATCCCGAGATAACAAATATAATACAAGTAAATCTTCTCGAAAGTTAGCATCCATATTTTTAAACGTGTTAATAAAACGCAAACCCTTAAATATATCGACTTAAAAACAAAGTGACTTATGCCACTTTCAAAATAAACGGCTCATATATTATGCTTCAAAATACAATAGTATTACACTTCCAATTTTACTTCTAATTACAAGTATTTTGACCATATTTTATGACGTTAAATTAATGGCGTCCGTCGGNTAATGAAAAGTGGTGATTTTTTAATGTTTATACGAAATTATTTATACTGAGAAAAATATCAGTATCCCGAGATAACAAATATAATACAAGTAAATCTTCTCGAAAGTTAGCATCCATATTTTTAAACGTGTTAATAAAACGCAAACCCTTAAATATATCGACTTAAAAACAAAGTGACTTATGCCACTTTCAAAATAAACGGCTCATATATTATGCTTCAAAATACAATAGTATTACACTTCCAATTTTACTTCTAATTACAAGTATTTTGACCATATTTTATGACGTTAAATTAATGGCGTCCGTCGGTAAGAAGTAATTTGTACGCCGAAAATGTCCGCTCTACATCACATGATTTTAAATTACAGAGACTGGGTCACCACATATTACCATTTCGATTTACATGGCTATCATTACTCGTTGCGAAAAAAGTTTTAGAGAAGATTCGAATGGCGTCGAGTGTGGCGTATTCCGGTGCCACTAGTTCTCTCGCTGGTGGTCACGGGACGGTCATATAAAGGTCAGCTCAGTTTTTTAAAATGGGAAGTCATATTTTTTAATGGATCAATGTGTGCATCTTAATGTTAGTTATAAAAATGTATTAATCTATTGGGTTGGAAACTAAGTAATTGCCGATTTGTTCAATGAAATAAAAATTTTTTTTTCACTTGGAATGAAGTTTAATTTGCAATGTATTTTCCATTTTGTTCGATGACCTTTTGCCATCTCTCTGACAACTTGAAAATTCCACGCTCGTAGAAAGTCTGATCCTTTTCGGCCAAAAACTGAGTTCAGTGAGATTTTACAGCGTCATCATCGTTATAAGTTTTACCACGAAGGGAGTTGTCCAGGGATCGAAATAAATGGTAATCCGATGACGCGAGATCAAGGCTATATGGTGGGTGTAACACCAATTTCCAAGCAATATCCATCAATTTTTGCCGAGTGGACAAAGACGTGTGCGGCCTAGCATTGTCCTGCTGGAAAATGACACCTTTACGATTGACCAATTCTGGTCGCTTTTCCTTGACCGCTGCATTCAATTTGTCCAGTTGCTAACATTCACGGATAATAAACATATCATAATAATAATAATAATAATTTTGTAATATAACATTTACGGATATCATGAAAATGGGAGTGAGAGACATCTATAACTGAAGTCGGCAATTACTTAGTTGCCAACCCAATACTAACGTTGAAAAATGAACGGTTTAGGAGATATTCTGAAACGAATTACCTGATAATCAGCGTCGGGAAGAATATATTGCTAAAAATCAGACTGCCATAGATCGAGGCGAGGGTGAACGTGCCAAGCGACTGGTCGGCGTTGATGGAGCTCTGAAGATTGGTGGCGCCCATGAACGCCGTGAAATTCACCATGAACGCGACGCCGATCACGAGAACGTTTTTCGTGATCCTCCATCTCTCGGACGGCTTGTATCCCGTGCTCTCCGTCGGCACTTTGACGAACTGTCCCGACGTTTCGGTTTTATCGAACGACATTGTCCCGCCGTCTTCTTGACACCGATTCGGATCGCCGGTGGCACCGGTCGCGGTTGATCGCGGAGATCGCAGCAGCCACAGATCAGCCGATGCGTGTTCCGCGTGCACCGGGATCGCTCGATACGCGAGAACACGACCTCACTCGCCGAGAGCTGCACGAAGGGTCCCGCAGCGCGTCATGAATTATATTGATCAACGCGATTGAAATATCACCGCGATTCTCGACACCGGAGGATCCACCGGCGACCGCTTATCAATGGTTCTCGACCGTTTCCAGCGACTTTGAGGGACGACCTGTTAACGATACTTCGCTGCCACTTCGACAGTGACGAACAAACGTCCACACGGTTTCATAATTCTGCTATGTGCATCGATCGATGCTCGTCGTTCCACTGCGAATCCTGAAACAGAGATACCGCGAGAAATTATTACGTTTCGTGTCACGGGGAACGATGTACATATTTCTTGCCGGTCAGAAACTGATCGAGTGACGATAGGATTCAATGTTCAGTCATCAGTTTGTTTATTTCAGCGTGGTCGCATTAACTGCGAGGTCATTAGCGACCACACGGCTCGCAATTAACTGTACCATAATGAATTTGTGATTTATATTGTAAAATGTACTATAATATATATAACTATATATATATAATAATATAATATATTATATATATATAATAGTGTATAATATATTATACATATAATAGTTATAATAAATAATATATATAACTAATTATAGTTATATATATAACTAATTATAATTATATATATTAATATATATTGTAAATATAACAGGATATTTCAGGGTGTTCCAAAATTATGGCACTTCCAGGAAATGAGGGGTTCCTGAGACTATTCGAAGCAACTTTTTCCTTGGCGCAAACGCAATCCGCGGCTTTGTTTACGAATTATTAACGAAAAACAGTGACCAATGAGAGTCGAGATCAGCTGGCGCGTGGTGACCGAGCCAATGAGCGGAAATGGGCTACGTCCGCATGTTGGTTTGGCCGCCTGGCTTCAACCGAGCTCACCGCTCATTGGTCACTGCTTTTCGTTAATCATTCGAAAATAAAGCCGCGGATTACAGTAGGATTACATTAGGATTACGTTAGGATAAAGTTACTTCAAATGACCCTAGGAAACCATTATTTTCTGTAAATACCATAATTTTGGGACACCCTGCATAACGAGTCATATACAACATCTGGTAACAAATAATCGAACACCTTCTAAAACGTAATAACTTTTTCGAAACTGGACTAAATCACTTGAAATTATGTTTAATATTAAACAGGTGAATTTACTGTACAATGACTAAAATATTTTTCTTTTAATTTCGATATTACTTGGAATGACAGAGAAAGTAAAAGACTCATTTACGGTGAAATAGACAATAATAAGAAATGGACAATAATAAATAGACAATATTTATGAGCATTACTTGCACTCGAAAACTGAATATTTCTTTCGAAGAAATATTTCAGTAATTAATAGTTTCCGGATCTTCACATCCCAACAGGCCTTCGTCCCAGAATTCAATGCTCTAAAGTTCAGTTTCATAGACGTTAATTTCACTTTTCCTTTTTATTCATACTTTTATGCTCACTTTCATTCTTACTTCTATTCTTACTTTCATTCTCGCGTTTGTTCTTTCTGTTATTCCCTCTTTTATTCTCCCTTTTGTTCTTACATTTACCCTTACGTGTTTATCACTTTTATTTGGTCGATGCTTTTGCAGATGAAACTGTTGCATCGTATCTCGCCGTTCCACACAAAAGTTGCTTCAACTCCTGCCAAAGTACCATTTAGCGGAAACTGCTTCAACCTTCCTCGTCATTTTATTCTCCCAAAGTGCAGACACTGATTTTTATACGCCACTTCGTTATTCGACAAGATCTCTAGCAAGGATCAGGAAGTTAATATACTGCATTTTGAAGTTAAACGTCGACTTTGTTTGCGAGGCTGTTTTGCCTTCATGAATCTTTGTTACATGCCCGGGGCTATGGTTCGTTTTTTCTTCTTTTTTTACGGCAGCGAGATAAGAATAACTTCACCACGTTACCATAACCGCGAAAGGCGAATGACCAGGGAGGAAGTAAAAACTGTGTCAGCTGTAACTTGTATCGGTAGAGGAGGCCTTGAATAACGTAGTCGGTGCTCATTCTGTTGCGACACACGCAACTATGTAATTACACGGTGTTAATTACATAGGAAAGGAGTGTTATTACACGTGTAGGAATATTATTCTGTGTTTATCTTTTAGAGAGAAAAGTGTCATGGTAAAAATTTGTAATTTAAAAAATTTTTTTTTAAATTTTAAACCAGGTACTTGACGATATAATGTTTTTCGTACGTCATGGAAGAAAAGAAAGCTGATCCTTAGACTGCAGAATCAATGCCAAATAAAATTTGTCTGCACTGATTGCAATATATTAGACCTGCATAGACATTTCAGCCGTTTATTTTGAAAGTGGCATAAGTCACTTTTTCAAAAAAATCGAGTTAATGGTAACACTAATTACAATTGAACGGTATCTTTTCATTTAAAAAAAAAAAGAAAAAGTGACTTATGACACTTTCAAATAAACGGCTCATTTATTTCCGTTCTTAATCATTCTAACGGGTTTAAAATATTGTGATATAACAGTATTGGAAAATTCATTAAATGCTTTCATTGCTTTGCATTTGATCCACACATTTTTGCCATAAATACGTAAAATCCGCAGTCTACTGATTATATTTAATTGCTACATCTCTGACTCCATATTGTCGCTGACGATTACCGCAAACAATTATTTTCCCTTCCCTTTTATACAAAATTACGCATTGAATGCATGTGGTTGCAGAGATTGCAAAATAAATATTCTACACGTTCTTCCGCCGTTTTAATAAGTTAGAATCAGTATACAGTCCTGGACAAATACGTGTGGACACGACAATAAGTTTTCTAAATTTCGATAAACAATTTGACTTGTTTTGAGACGATAAAAGGGCTAGTTCGCTAGACAATGCAAACAAAAATTTATATTTGTTGACATTTTGTATTTTATATTTTAAATTGACATTTTATACTTTAGATTTTAAATTAGTGTTTATATATTGAATATTTATATTTATATTATATTTTAAATTAGCGTTCATATATTGGATATTATATTTTAAATTGACATTTTATACTTTAGATTTTAAATTAGTGTTTATATATTGAATATTTATATTTATATTATATTTTAAATTAGCGTTCATATATTGGATATTATATTTTAAATTGACATTTTATACTTTAGATTTTAAATTAGTGTTTATATATTGAATATTTATATTTATATTATATTTTAAATTAGCGTTCATATATTGGATATTATATTTTAAATTAGCGTTTTATATATCGGATATATATTTTAAATTAGCGTGTATATATTGGATATTATATTTTAAATTTTTTAGCGTTTATATATATGGGATATTATATTTTAAATTAGTGTTTATATATTAGATATACAAGAATCCACACACAAATTTGGCAGTCCGCTGATTAGACGTAATATGATCGATAGCATTGAGATTGCTGAGGAAACGCATCGGTGTCCGACGACATTTTGTGATTTATCCCCTGATCACGTCGAGCGGTCAAGATAAATTTTAACAAGCAATAATTCTCGTACCGCGTTGCATCGTGTGCCAGTAATGACATCGGCTAGCATTCGATGGATCAACCCACAGATAACCGGTCTGTTTACTCTCTACCAATCGTGGTGGTTCAGAAATGATCCGCGACTGCCACGACAGTGTGCGCTCGAGGACGTTTAGCGTCAATAGCGCGAACAAATTTATCTTGGTGAATAACCGAGCCGGTCGCGTCGGAATCGCAACGGAACGTTGTCGATCCGATGTGTCAATTAACCCGCAACTTTTGTCACACATGTCAGCTCGATCTGAACGTCTGCTTCCATTAGAAACGACTGCCCTACACGCGCGCACACCTGTCCCTCCGTTGTAATTGGAATATTGCAGAATTTAGGGTCAGTTGAATTTCTGCGAAGTCGCGAATAGAGTGGTCATTTTAATACATGTGTAATTAAATCATTAGTTCGCGTGCATTTTTGTGGTAATTAGAATATGAATTCTTGCGATGATTCAATATTTCAATACCTTCTTTCCAGTAATTGGAATCGACAAAGAGGACTATATATTTTTAACATTATCATTTGTATAATAATCAGCATAGGAGTTATTATAAGTTATATATTGTATGATTTGATGTGTGTTTCATAATTACGATGTCTCATTGCTAGGATTTTGATCTATTTATAAATAAGATTAAAGAGCTATTATACACTTAACCAAATCCTATATTTGAGCCGTTTATTTTGAAAGTGGCATAAGTCACTTTAACGTAATGAAAAGTGGTGATTTTTTAACGTTTATACGAAATTATTTATACTGAGAAAAATATCAGTATCTTCTCGAAAGTTAGCATCCATATTTTTAAACGTGTTAAAACGCAAACCCTTAAATATATCGACTTAAAAACAAAGTGACTTATGCTACTTTCAAAATAAACGGCTTATTTATATAAATACGTACTTGACGTAATCAGAATGTAAATTGTTGTGAGGATTTTATAAATCGTCTGATTTAGCTCTTTATTAATTGGAACCAATTGCTTCTCTCTCAGAATTTTCATCAATTATTTGATCTGATTATAAATGAGATTAAACATTTACTACCTGTTTAAATACATATCAACATTTATATAGTATATTGTTTAATTTACAGTTCATTACTTAGGTCCAATTGATTTAGAACTTTTATTAGGAATTGGATAATTTATAAATTCAATTTATATACATTTACCGCATGTTTGACTAAATACTAACAGAAATACATTTACGTAACAAAAAAAATGCGGATTCTAGTAAAACGTTGAATGTAAATGACGTAATGAATCTAATGAAATCGAATGTAAATATTCGTCTGTGTCAACTACAATGCCACGTTTCTCGATCGGTCAGCAAAACATTTCACATTTTTCGACCGTGAATTTACGAAAGTTGGTCGTTCGTTGGTCGAAATAGCCGGATTTTTGCAAAGTTCTATAATGCAGTTTCTCTTCGCCCGATTGATAAGAGCAATCGCGGAAATGGAGAGGAAACGTTGAAGGCAGTCTACCGCGCAGGCGGACGTTGAAAAATGTAGGATGACCGGGCCAGGAGAAATGAGGATACTTGGAAGAAGTGTGAAACCTGCGAAACAACCGCTGCGCTGGCTACGTAGAAGTTACGTTAACTTGCCCGCGAATAATGTACGTGCCTGGACATCCCGGGCACTTTGTAGGTAATTTTAACCGGCAGCCGACTCTATCAGCTTTTTCTGCTTCGACCTGCATCTTCTTGGCAGT